TCACCTGGAGACACATTCGGCAGTATACATCTCATCTCAGATGGCCACTGCGACCTAGTATCCTTCCCTTGTTAGCCCCACCGATTTGGACACATTTCTTCTATCATCTCTAACCACCTTTTTCCGCGTTTTACAAAGTCTCCGATCAGAGCTTATATACTTCTGAAAAGTAGCTTCAATTCCAATGCAGCTCCCCTCGCGAGCAGAGAATCGCTGAATTTATGGATGTTCACCCCTTTAATTTTTTTGACCCTCACGACAACATTGAATCGAGTTATGAACTTATGTGGAAAGTACCGCCCTGTTGCAAAACGCTCCGCCTACAGCCAGCAAGTCCTCTTCATTTACCTTGCTCACCCATCCCTAACCATTGCTAACCTTTTCCCGGCGCCTGGGCTGATATGAAACCGGATAGTTCTGCCCATGACACCGCCCACTCTGCATGTCTCGCCCCTGTGCGCGGAGCTCTGCCGAGCTTACGTGAGCTGCGGGGTCTTGCCCTACGCTCAACTCATCCCATACTTGACCAAATTTCTCCAAGTACTTCTCCAGGTAATATCGAATTTACGTACAAACAAACAAACAAGCAGTTACAGAGAGATAGACAAATAGGCAGCGATCACGTTATACATAACAGGAAATGCCGGTAATGGGAACTGTTTTGCCGTAACTTTCGGGCACAAGGCCCAACTAACGACTATGACAGGAACTTGGTAAATAAGTTCCGTGGCAGTTCAAGATGCGTAACTACGCTCATTCGATGTCTCAGCCTGATACGTCCTATAAATTCTGAATTATACTTCCAAATCCAGGGCCGAGTGCGAGCGATCACCTATCATTCGCACGAACACAGCCTATTTCAAGCCTTCATCTGTAATCTACAATGAGGCAATGTGAGGCAAACGTATATTGCAAAGATGCCAACAAATGTTTTTTCCCATCCGACAAGGTCGTAATGGGAGATCATTACGATTTTTTGACCTTGAATACAAACGTGGTGAGCATCATGGGCATTTCACCACCCGCCCTTCGCTAAATATATTTCGAAGAAAATAACTCTTTGTTAAGAGCATGCTCCCGCAGCCGGAGCTCCTTTCAATTTATGCATGCTTGACACACTTTGGCCCGGGGAACTTGCGATTCACGCAAGTTGATAACCATCGTTAGTTATAACATTGTCCCATTTAACGGGCAGGTCAGCGATTTCCTTCCACCAGAACTGGGAAGATTGGGAATCAAAGAACTCACCGACAACTTGTTCAAGGTGATCATAGCCGAAGAATTGTTTTGCCAGGAAAGATTGTGCACAGAAGTTCGCTTAGGTCATTTTTCTTGAAAGGCTTCCGCAAGTTTCAGCATAAAAGGGAACGGTGACGGTGTGACCTTGCTTGAGCAGTTCGTAATACAGTATTCCTTTTGAATCCCAGAGGCAAAGGGATACTTTATGGGGTGGGGGCCGATTTAGCTTGCGTCAGCCGCGGGAGCCAGACGGCGCGGTGCTTCTCAGCGTCGTAGAGGATCCAGCTTTCTTCTCCATTGAGTAGTTCCCCCAGGAACTCCTTGCGATGTAAGCGGAGAAGGAGAGACTGACATAGATACCCGGGTGTGCCGAATGCTATCGGTCAAGACATGAGGTATCCATCGAGTTAGCAGTTTTCTGTAACCGAGGGCCTGAAGGAGACCGACGACTGTTGGTTTGGCGCACTCAAGTCTCGTCGCAAGACTGCGGATGTTAAGTTCTAGATCCTTTTTGACAGTGTCGAGAATGACGGAGTCGTGAACGGCGAAGGAGTGCCTCGACCGAGGCTTGTCGTCGAGGCCCGTGCCTCACTCCTTCAAGCGAATGGACAACCGACGGACAGTAGCGATGGAGGTCCCCAGGGAAAGGATCGAATTTATTAGTAGTTTCCAGAAATTAAGTCTTTCTCAGCCAACTTTGTCCACTGTATTATTTGGAGATTGCAAACACATTTAATACAATACTTCAAGAAAAACAAATAATCATCAAAAGTAACCAATGAGCAGGGTGCGGCTCACCGTTAAGCCACGCTGTCGTCAAAAAGGCGCGGCTTAACATTGGCCAGCACCGTCGCCGAAGGATAAAAGTTGAAACCCTTTCCATTAGAAACATTACACTGTGTGGTTGTGGTAGTTGATATTGTACTATCTAGTGTAGAAGAGTTTTCCACCAAATCTCCTTACTTTCGAAGAACAATAATACCATTCCCTGAGCAATATGTATATTTTGCCCGAAGTCCGAGGAGGCGCTCAAGGTTTTGCAAACTCACTTCAAGCAAAGCTTCCGCAAATTGACTTTACTGTGCATAGACAAGTTCCTCTTAGAATCGTGGACTCCTCATGACTTGCCTATAGATTACCGTCTTATCAGCTCTGCTGTCGCGACACAGCAGCAATGGTGCTAGACCTGTTCACTTGCTCTCTGGAACCTCACCAACATGGACAGAAACGCTTCGTGAGTTCACCTCATTCGAAAATGTTCTGCAGAGATCTTGGCTGTCCTCACAAGAAAAATTAGAAAGCCAAAAGATTTGCAGAATTACCCAAATTCATAAACGGAATACTCTTAAATGATCGCCAAATTCTTTCTTCACTCCCGGGTGCTTCCAAGAAATGAGTGAAGGTGAGTGAAGGGAAAAAAAGAAACTGAAGGAGGACAGCGATGGGCGTAGTGTTCAGTGGACGGTACTTAACACATAAGATCATAACTCGATTCCT